AAGAAATGTTGCCATTACTGGAATAGATAACATTTTAAAACAGAAAATAGTTATTTAAAATTTAATATCGATCAAATATCCTGCCTTAGTGAGCTTAAGACACTACTTTCAAAAGCATTTAAAAAATCTTAAGGACCTCCCCAACTTTTGAATTGTAAGTGTATATTATCATAAATAGAATAACTAAGCAAAGTATTGCTTTTTCCAAATCACAATAAATAAAAATGAAATGACAAAATGTAGCTGCTGAAGCTCAAGCATGAGTAATACATGAGAGAGAGCATGAGCAAACAGGAGAGGGATCAGAAAGCACTTACAGACATGGTTGGAGTGTGTTTTATGCAAATTACTAGCTGTGGACATACAGTACATTCTCTTCTAGAATAAGTCGAAATCATCAACATTACAAGGAACATAACAAATACAGTATGTGTGTAGAGTACACACCTGCTGTGTATTCATAAAAAATTATCAGTGAACCAGGCCCATTGTCTAAAATTTCATCAGAACACCACAGGGTGGCCTCAGTTGTTGAAAACAAATAACATCTGGAAATAGTGGGTAGTATTGACAAAAGGGGAAAATAAATAAGAAAAAAACTGCTGTAAAAGGAAGAAACCAAAGATAAAGGGATATATTAACAGTCTAGATCAGGTGTTTCAAACTACCGGCCCTTGGACTACATTTCATGTTCAAGATAGTTGTATACTGTACATCTCTCAAGTGTTTAGTTTATACATAAATCCGGTCTTAAATCAGTTTTCGCTTCCTGGATTTTGGTTTGGCCTTTAATGTTGTTTAATGTAAACAGTAGCCTAATATATAATTTTCCAAATGGTTTATTACAGGCCTAAAATACAAACATAAACCTGCAGCCTACATAAAGCCAACAAACAAGATGCTTTCATCAGTCAAAAACGGCTTGTACGTGGGTGTGCTAAATTGTATGTCATACAAATGTTTATTTTAAGATCAGAAAGAATCTGTAAAGAATTATATATCACCTTATAATTAACATGGCAAAATCACTTTATATAGGGCAATTCATGTCATACATTACATTGCCACATGGGTTAAATTAAATCTAAAAACTAATGTGAGCAGATCTAATCCAAACTAATAAATTAGTTGTTTTTTGTAAGCAGTGTCATCACTACTACTGCAAATGACATTCTAGGCCTAAAGGAAGCATTAGTCAGCAGACCAACATATATGAATCAGGCTCTTTTCTGAGCTGTAGCTTACAGACACAAATACAAACTCATGCACATACAACTCAGCCCCTATAGTTTTAAACAAGATACAGCTTTAGTTAATAAAATCATGAAATTACCTTATAGTTAGTCTCGCCATTTTGATGCTGCTTAGTAACAGCTGTAACTAATCTCTCAACTGTCAGTGCCAGTGATTAGAATGATTATCTGTTCCTGATTTGTAGATTATCCCTGATTGCACAGTTTCTTGTTTCTGGGTTTGACCCTGTATTGTCTCCTCGTGTGACCTTTACCACATAATCACTGTATGACTGACATACATTACAGATGGCAAGTTTCACATCTATCAAGTATATACTGTGAGACAACAAAATGTCATCGATAGCTTGTGAGCTTTTTGGGGTCGACTCAGGACTCATTAAAATGTAGTTGCCATGTGGATGACTTTCTGACAGATGGGTCATTTACATATCACAGCCATGAACCCGGCAGATCGACCAAAAGATTCAGTGTTTCTACTCAGTGGTTTCTTTTAGCATAAAGTTTTAATAACTGACCAATCAGATTATTTTAACTGGTGTTTTGAATAGCATTAAAGGTAATATAATTATATTTTGAGTCACAGAGGTAGTTCGCATCAAGCTAGCAAACAAACTAATTAAAGCAAATCATCTTTGTTTGACATTGAGACAAAAGTTTTCAAAGACAGTAACTGCCATTACAAATTCTGGCAAGTCATCAATTGAAATGACACAAAGAATCTCTAAATGCTGCAGTATTATGGCCACAGATGAGCTAGAAATGATAACATTTGCATGCTGGCTCAGGTTCAGAGGTTCAGAGGATGACATCATCCCATAAATTTATGCATGTATCTGTGCATTTGAGGTTGGGGTTTTTGAGTGTATACAACATCACTGGTTGCAATAAATTAAATATATATAAAGAAAATGCTATGAGTTTAACTTTAATTATCATCTAAAAATCATCTTTTTTTTATCCATAAACCAGATGTCATAACATGAGTATTAGCACAGCGTGTGCAGGAAACAGATAATCTGTATTGGCCAAGTGACAGTAGAGCAGATTCCAGTGTGTCTGTGACCGGCGTTTAACTGCTTTTGTCTACTATGTGTTCCAGAGGTATGAATCCCCAATGCTTTTTTACCGCTTGAAGAAAAAAAAATCCATGCTAAGGTAGGGTGATCATACATCCTATTTTTTCCTGGACATGTCCTGATCGGGATTTCTACATAGTCCAAACTGTCCAGGATTTGGCATTGTTTACAGTCCTCATACATTGTATATTTATATGCATTGTTTTGACAGTTCTCTGTAGATCCCACTTTCTCACACACCCTAACTGATTATGTACAATGCCTGCATGCATGCTATTGGTCAAACTACTTTTCAGTATAAAACAATAGGAAAACAAAGCCAAAACCCAGACATTTTAGGCAACTTAGAAATCCTGGCCAGGACATGACCAGAAAAAAAGAAGATGGATGGTCACTCTAGCTAAGGATCCTCTGTGGGAGGGCCCCTCTGGAACAACTTAATCTGTAATTGTATGTTTCTGTGAGTGATGCTCAAAGGTGCAAAAGTAACAGGAAGAGAAAGAAAGAAAAAAAGAGACCTAAATCACTGGATTATAAATGACAGGAACATATAGATGACTTCTGGCTTGCCTTCCTATTATAACGCTCTGTTAGTGTGAAAGAGAGAGAGAGTGTTTGTTGGGACATTAAAATATATCACCATGCATATTTGTGTAAACAAATAATTTAAAAATTTTTTCTTAATCATTCATTTAGTGTTGTTTTTCAGTAGAAATTTCTAAACAAGTTCATATGGGAGGCAAAATTACATATGGCAATAAGATTCTCCTTTTCAGAGAATATATACTGTACATATTTAATTAATTTTAAAGCTAAGAAATGTAGGAATGTGCAGTGATGTTAAAACATTAAACAACTAAACAACACAGAATGACTTTTCATTAAATCAACAGATGGATTAATATGGATTGTTACTTGTTACTAGATGTTTCAGCTGTAAACAAGATGAAAAATGTTGATTAAGAACATTTTTGCAAGATGAGAATTAAGCAAAAATCTGGTGGAAAAACAACTCTGTTACTCATAACTTTCACTTCTTTTGGACTGAAGCACTGCAACACCCGCTGACTGCAATGATAGAGCTTGGAATAGCCAGGACAATTTTTTATATAACTCAGACTGGATTCGTCTGAAAGGAGAAAGTCAACTAGGATGCCTCGGGGGGTGAGTAAAACACAGCCTATTTTCATTTTTGGGTGAACTAATCCTTTAAAGTTACTGTGCACTGTGTCAGATTCTTTTGGTGTGTAACACCAAAGATTCTTTTGTGATTCTTTTGTAACACCTTTTGGGTGAGGTTCCAAACCCCATTTGAATTAGACATCGTTTTGTTTGTGTTTTTTTAATCTTTTGTTAGGGCTGCACGATAAATCAAAAATAAATCGAAATCACGATTAGACAGAAGCTGCGATTATCATGCGTATCTTTCAGTGAAGCACGGTTCTGTGATCAGTAGTAAATCTCCATCCGAAGGCCAGAGGGTGCTCTCGCACAGAAAGTCCAAATACGCCCGCAGAAGAAACCCAGGAAATCCCTATAGCAGTTGCTGAATAAACTGAAGATTTAAATGCTTTCGTTGATTCAACGGGACTAATAAACACACGACTAAGGCAATATATGGTTTATCTGAGTTCGTATTATAATTTTCAGTATAATAAAGTATAATACAATGCTAATCGACATAGCCTTTATCACTGCATAGAATACTATAAAACAGTTGCGTGCCTTATTCTGTGTAAGAAGCCACATCATCTCACAGAAGGATTTATTTCAAACACACGACTAACATTATGAAGTGAGTTTGGAGTGAAAACGTTATTAAATGTGGTATTTTCACAGGCTTTCAGATGGAGAAGCATTCACTACACAGAGCTGTAGTTCACTGACAAGCTACGCAGACAGCTGTCATTATCCCGAACGATTTCTTCGATTTCATAAGCATACGATTAGCTATATCGTGTGTGAATTATTATTATTTTTTTGTGTAGCATGTCAGAGAACTATGGCTCTGTGTAGTAAATGCTGCTCCATCTGAAAGAAGGTGATTGAGATTTACTACTCATCACAGAACTGGCTTTACTGACAAGATGTGCATGACAATCGCATTCGATTAATCGTGCAGCCCTATCTTTCGTTACATTAAACTTTGCTCCCATCGACCGCTGTCATTTAATCAACACAGCAGTCAGAATAAACCCCAAGAAAAACCTCTTTTGTTTTCGGGGGGTTCTTGGTAGTTCACACGGTTACATATAGCTGCAACTTTTTTACACTACTGATTCAACTTTGCCATTGAGAGGACTGGAAAAAAATTACCAATATAAACAACCAGAATTTACTCTAACTATTGCTTTGTCTGTTACCAAACCAAAAATAGTTCCAACCAAAGCCACCATTGCCACACAAGCAACAAAAAGTGGTGTTTTGTAGCTGAACGATTCAGTGTTCTTGAACAAAACGGTTAAGTAAATGATACAATGAACCATCTAAACCATTACATTTTTGAATGAATTGGTTGAATAAATGATTCAAATGACTCGCTCACAAAGATTTTCACTTGTCTTCATCTACTGGCATAATCTATAAAGCCAATCCCCACAAGATTGTCATCACTCTGGAATATGAATGAATAAATAAATATAAACATAAAAATAATATATGTAGCTCTTTTTATTTATTCCTCTGTGTAGGATGTTACAGGACTGAACTAATGTCACAAAGTCTGGATTTATTCTGCCTGGCTGTTCCTGCTCCAGAATTCACTGTGTGATACAAATAAGTAAAATAGTTGTGACAATTCTAAACATTTGATTACAATCATTAAAGTCCTTGTAAATTGTAAAACAGTGTCAGACACTTTGTCAAATAAAAAAAATTATATCTGAGTCACTTATCAAAATACATATTCATTTTACAAATATTATGCTTTCAATAAAACTAATAAACAATATCAGCCGTTGCCTTGACAAAAGCTGTGTGCAAAGAACACTGTGACTGATGTTATTTCCTGTAAGCAACAGTATCATATACATTTAAAATAATACACTTCGTGTGCCAAAAACATTCAGTAGCCTATGTATAAAGTGTATCGACAAATGGCCTATTTTATTTTTCTAAATGATTACTGATCTCTCAGTCAGTTCAACTCAGGCTTGAAGGAAATTCAGTTTACGAGACAAATTTTTTTTTTTAATGGTCAAAAGTAGTTCGGTAGGCAATTGTTCTTTTTTCCTTCATTTGTCCTTTGAAACCCAGATGCAATGACATCTGCTTCTCTAACATTCATCTGTAGAAACTCAAGCACACTTAGGTCTCTAGCAATCTGCTTCACTTGTGCTTGTCCTTCTGATCACTCCTCTGGTTCCCCATCTCTGACGTTGTCACTGCATGAGGATATTAGGCTCAATGTTAAATAGTAGGTCATCATTACCACGCCGCACTTCCAGAAGGAGGGGCATGTCTTCCTGAATCGCCTCCTGTAGTTCTCCAGTGTTGACCAAAGGATGGCCGTTTAGCTTCACTATAATATCACCTGTTTCAAGCCCACCTCTGTGAAAATGAACAGATGAAAGGAGAATGATATGTGATTTGTTTTGGGTAAATCAGTGCATGATGTTTTCTAAACATAACAGTGTGATTAAAGTTAAATCTTAAAAAAGCATTTTAAAGAGAATCTGAGATGGACAGAAGTTATTATTTGGCTGAGACATACTTCTGAGCTGGGGAGTCTGGGACAACTTCATGGACAAGAATTCCACTGCCGATATCTGGAAAGTCTGGTTTATGCCATTTTAATCCCTGGACTAGGCTGAGGAAAAGAAGAAAAATAGAAAACCTTAGATCTGAGGAAAAGAAAGCAGACACAGATGGCTCCTTTTAAGAAAGGTTACTTATTGAACCTTGATATTTAAGCAATGCAATCATCTTATGTTGGCTTTATTTTATTAAATTTGACACTATTAAATGAGAAAAAAAGCATTGATGATGAAGCATTGATGATTGATTGACACAACATACTTCTCTGTTAAAGTGACCATTTTGATTCCAATAAATCTTTTCTTTGGGACTTTTACATCTGGAAGAGAAATGATTAGTTTTAAAAATGTGTACAATTTCATGGTGCATTCAAGTTATATCAGAAAGATCGTATTTAAGAGCTGAATGCACATAAACACTACAGCCAATACGACTTTTTTAAGCCTCGAGATTCCAGGTTTGGGGCATGTCAGTAAGAAAACATGGTGAACGTAATGGATGGAGTACCTGTATTGATGGTAAATTTGTTGAAATTAATAAAAGTATTTTAAAGCTGACTGTATAAAATATGATAACACTGTACAATTATAAAAGAATAAATAACGATTCAGTTAACAGAAGTTTTATAAATTGAATGACAAGGAAAAACACTCCTGATGTGCATTTTTAGTCATCTTTTATAGTAGAGTTAAAAACAAAATCTTGCTCTATTTTTTGTAGTATATAGGTACATCAGCATCTCGCTTCAACCAAAGTGATTTGAATGCATCTGACAACTCATAAATACAAACTTCCCAGGAGGACTTTAACACACACAAACAATAGCATTGAACAAATAACAGCCTTTTTATTCGTTAACTCCAAAGCAAAGAGTTATATTGACTTGCAGTTAGCTAACAGCAGATTACTGGGACAAATTCATGCAAAGCAATTTTATATTAGATTTGATAAACCGTTATCAACCCAATTTAGCGTTCTGGCCTAAACATCTACAATGTATCTTCTTTAGTTCCTCTCACAGTAATTTAACTGCATGACAGACCAGTTAAATATTGATTCTGTTGTAGCTTGCATGTTTGATGTCATCAGGCGGGTAAGATGACTAGCCGCTGGCTAGCAAAGTGAAATTTGCTAGCAATTACCTCACCTGAGGCAGTCTTCATAGCTTGAGACTGTGTGAAGTTTGTCCTGACTACCCTTTGTCTGACTGAAATCAAAGTAAAGGACACCAAGGATGTAATAGACAGGGCTGTTTCACACATAATGTATTTGTGTTTTGTAGCCATTTTGTTTCAATTGGCAGACCATTATTTTGAGGTGGCACTCACAAAAATGTAATCTCAGGTTAATATGATCGAATGAAAATGAACATCCATTGACAGTTCAGCTTTTTGCGTGCTATCATTTATGTTGATGAATTAATTTTGGAATTGCCGACAAAAAATTTAACTTTTGCAATTAGTGCATTACCTCTGGGCTTGATGCTTACCTTTCTGCTCTTTATCGTTAGATTCATCAAGGAATTTATTGATTCGGTCTGATGGAATTGCAAAAGAGATCCCTGCAGTCACTTTTAGTGTGTTTATTCCGATCACCTCACCGTCCTAACATGACAGAAATATCATATAAAAAGCTAGCACTATTAAATGTATCTAACCCGATTTAAAACTTCATTCACACTCACCAGATTAACAAGCGGACCTCCTGAGTTTCCATACTTCCCATTGTTGATGAATAAAAAGGGAAAGAGAGAATCAAATTCAGCCAAAACAATCTTTTAAACAATTGTTGTAGCCTGCAAGCAGCATTCTCTTTTGTCTTACATTGGTGATCGCGTCAGTTTGGATGTAGTCCATGTCAGAGTCACGGATGCCGAGCTCTTTTCCATCTCTCTGTGTTGTGCTGACGATGCCTGTTGTGACTGTGTTCTGAAGCGCAAACGGACTGCCAATGGCAACCACAAACTCACCAGGCCTCAGGTCAGCAGACTGACCCAGTGATAACACTGGCAATTTTTTCTGCAAGAAAAATAACACTAACAACTGATGCAAATTAAATCAACTGAAACATGATTCAGTCGATCTGTGCACCACTAATGGATTTTTTTCTTCCTTGACACTTCCTACAGGTTGCAGTTTGCGCCAATAGGTGGCGATAAGCCAGTAAATCTTTGTGAGTCTTTGAATCTGTCATTCAAAAGATTTATTAAGCATTGAAAAAAACAAGTAACTGGCTATATTTGGTGTAACCTATTTATATGTCATATCTTAATGTTTTTATACAGCTGAAATAGTAAGAGCATTATGATGCTTTTCTGAACTAAGCCACTGTCTTAATGAGTGAGTCTTTGAATCATTCACTACTTATTTGTTCAAAAACAAAAAATACCAACCAGCATGTGACTGACATTCAATGTTTAATGTTTTCACATTAACTAAATTTCAACAAGATCTTTTGAAAAAAGATGCTGAAACGGCGTCAAAATATCAACGTTGATTTGATCTGCAAAATCTAATCAAAATTTAACAGCGATTCCATGACGTTGATTCACTTGAGAATAAACATCGAAATCCCAACTGGGATGGGGATATGAACAACTTTTGCTCAAGGAATATTGCTTAATTGATAACACTGTCATGTTTTTCCTGTCCTTATGTCCTTTTTTTGTGGTCTTTTAGTTTATAGTTTTTTTTCTTGGCTCTTGTTCCTTTCCAATTGTCATTAGTCTCATTGTTTTCCTGTTGTGTCAAGTTAATCTGGTTTGTCCTGTGTATATTTGCCTTTGGCTACATCCAAAATAGCACTCTCTTGAGTAAGTACTTTGCATAAGTAATAATTTAGCAATCGCTAAAAAGGTATGTTTTATATAGTAGGAGTGTGTGTAATGTGAATGTAATCTGGACATACTACATTCGCCATGTTTTCATTATCACATGACCTTCTAGGGTCAGTTACATCCCTTCACTCCCATTCATGAATCCTCTTGTGGCCTCATGGGACAGTAAAATGTTCATCATATGCACACTTCAGAATCTCGCCAGAAATAGTAGGTCCTCCGGGTAATTTTTGCCTACTCTGTTACGTATACAATGAATTCAGACATGCTTCTTTTATCAAATTCAGTTTTTCACCCTACTAGGGATGTATGCACTTTTTGGATGCAGCCCTTGTTTCTTGGTTTTTGTTTCATTCTAATAAACTGCTTGCATAAGATCTTATGCCACTCCGTCACTGACTTGGCCAACATGACACTACCTGAGCAAACTGAACTTATTCTATTACTTGCAAAAACATATGGGCAGTCTGTCCAAAAGATCAGATATGAAAAACTATGGAAATATTGCACTAGACCATTTATGCATCTCCATAATCAGATCCATATGCATCAGGAAACAAAACACCTCTTATAACACAACACCTCTTGAATTTCCTCACACAAATGTAGGTCAACATGTGCAGCAGACTACCATTAACGTGTCCAAGTGTGTCTAGACGAGGTGGATTGTGTGATATAAACCAATCTGCCTCTGGAGTCATACATTTAAGAGTCAAAGGTGTAGCCATTTTTGGATGATTTGTGCTGAGGTTTTATACTCTGGAAGTTTATGAAAGAAAAAACTGAACTATTGACTAATAGGTTTTGTGTCGGGAAAATCTACTGTAAAGAAATAAAGCGACACCAAGAAATGTTGAAGATTAAAACTTTTCAGCCTCGAGGCTTTGTTCCACATTTACAGTACAATAAAAATAAAGGACACCAGGGAAACACTATAACATGTTAAAAAATGAAATAATGGTCTTGTTATTTTGAACTGTTTTAAACACATAAAGTCATTAATGCCTGTGAAATGATTCTTACCTTTGGGTTAATTTTGATCGTGGCAATATCAGACTTCGTGTCAATGTCTCTGATGGAGGCTTCGTATGTCTGGCCATCGTGTAGCTGCACTCGTAGATGCTGGCGGCCTGTGACTGGTGCGCTGCTAGCAACCACATGAGCATTGGTCACAATCAGACCGGATTGTGTCATTATAAATCCAGAACCACTTGATAGAGGTACATGACGGCCATACAGCGGATGGCTGGACACAAACATTGAAAACAGTGGTTATTGCATGACTAGGTGAGTATTTATTTTCTAGTAGTGCTTGAAAGAAAAAAAAAACAACTGTTGCCAGATTATAATAATGTAGATTGCAACATTATTAGATTATATAAAAACACCTTTCCTTGTGAATCTTCAATCAGGTGCAAAAATGAATATATACAAATATATTCAGCTCTATAGCTATCGCCAGAACAAACATTACCAAATCAACATCATGAAGACCGGAATGGTATTTACTTGAGGAAGAGCTCAACATGTACCACAGCAGGGGCAATCTTCTCCACCACATCAGCGATGAAGTTAAACTTGTATCTTGGGCTGTTCAGATGTGCAGGACCTATACTAGCAGAAAGAGCCATTCACGTCAATAATAGTACATGATATGTCAGATATGAAGACTACTGGAATGAGACTGTCATTACTCCAGTCTTCAGTGTCACATGATCCTTCAGAAATCATTCTAATACGCTAATATTTTAGTCAAATAAATGCGGTCTCCAGAGTTCTTTAACTGTAACTATCAGTGGCCTCCACCGTACTTAGAACTAAATGTTCTGTTAGGTTCATGTGCTAGTGACACTCCCATTGAGCATATAACAAAGAACAGATATAAGAAATCCATTGTAATAATTTGGATCTCTGCTCATCTGTGACTAGGTGTGTCACATTTATTACTTCCCTCGATTCTGTGGGCTGGACACAGATGGTATTCTGCCTAGGTTGTTTCCTCTTTTCCAAAGCTTTAGTACAAAAGGGCTAACAGCTGCATTTAGATGGTGTTTATGTTATCTGACTCTGAATGAAACTCCAGTTGGCACTGGAATAAGAGGAACTAAGAGTCTACATCTCACTAAACATCCAAAGTCACACTGATGTTTCTGTCTTGTATGCAAATCTTAGCACTTTCTCCAGGGTTTAAGTAATTGTCTTAGTGGAGACTGTGAAATTCCAAGAAGTCTCAATCAGACAAAATCAGACATCACACAAGAAGTCTAAACTAGTGGAGATATAACAACTGTCCCACAGCTGACTGACTCAGAACTATTGTGACTTCATGCTTCATTCATAAAGAAACACAACAGTGGTCTTGGACTGACAATTATCGGCATGGATGTAGCATCAGGCAAAAGTTAAAATATTTGCAGGTGTATTAGTCACCCACTGTTGTCATTTAATCTCAACAACCACCAAGAGAAAAACCCTTATATAAGCCAACAATTTGACTGGAGTCTTAAACATATTTGCTTTTAGCAAACTACTGCAACTTTCTGACAGGAAATACAGTCAAATACTGTCATTTGTGAAATTTTCTGATAGTGAACATAGGATTGGCTACTAGTTTTAGTTACCAGTCCAAATCCACTGTGCGGCACCAATTCTACCCATAAGGAAATGTAATGAAATACTTATGCCATTTATGTTGCCTATTAGGTGATATATAGTTTTCACATACATGCATTCTCTGGGCAGATAAAGCCATAATATATATAAAAATCCCCATAGTAAAATGTGTATATGTACATAAGTTAATGATATAGGCTATATGATTATTTGAATATGGTATTACAGAATGTAACAACCATATATGCCAACAATTTAGGCCTATATTTAATTTATATATGAAACCTTATTTAAACAACATATATACAAAAAACTATGTTTATTTAGGTTTTAAAAATAAATGTTTTAAATACATTGCTATGTTTTATACTTAGCCTACAGTACTATCTACTTGTATTGACGGGTATTAGCATGAATATACATGTGCATAACATACATATCTAAAAGTATATTGCACAGACACATAAAATAAGCAGTTGAAGTGATCAGTGACTGACCTGAGCTTGATGGTGCACATGGACCCTTGTGCGTTTGGGTTATTTCGGGGAGCCCTCGCTGTTGCGCTTTAAGCGCGGCTACCCTCATCTTGCACACATTCCCGTAGGTCTTCCCGTCGCTGCCACACACTCTGTGAGTTTTCTTACACTGGCAAACACCTTTGGAAAGTCGCTTACCGGCTGGAAATCTACATTCCAGCCCGTCGCCACACGGAACATCATCCTTCCGCCCGCACGGCGCGCCCTCGCCCAGGCTGCACACCAGACAGCAGCTGCAGTGGTCGGGCACATAACCGCTCGGACAGCTCGGGCTCGGACATTTACTCACATCACACTTGGATGGACATTTCGTCTTCGGCTCAGCCACGGCGAGGTCGTGCGTAAAGAGCACTGTAGCTGCAAACAGAATTACCTGCATTCCGTCGGTTTCCAGAGTACAGTTCAGGTGTCTTAGTTTGTTCAATGACCTACGACTTTAATTCTCTGTGAGGTTTTTCCATAGAGTGCATCACGCGCTGATGTAGGCTAATGACCTGTATGCGTTTGATATGACAATTCCTGAGGTTAAAAAGTAAGTCTCGTATACTATTCCTTGTGGTCTTATCATGTCATTTTAAAATACAGTGCTGGATAAATCTCCCTGATTTCTCGTACTCAGACACGCACTTAGGCTACTCCCTCCACCCCACTGTTTTTGAAGGCTAAATATACTCACACAGTGCAAGGTATGAGAGAAGAGCAGAACACACAGTCATTAGGCTACTCGAGTACAGATCAGACACCTCAGATTAGAACAGTATTCGCATAGCCTAAACATTTTATGAAGTGGATGTAAAATGCTTTGCAACAGCCAATCCTATACAACGCTGTTGATTGGGGTGTCGATCTGCACAATACAGGATAATATACTCATGTACAGAGATAAAATCTTAGTTAACTCTGCTGCATTTATTGTATTCACTGTAAAAATTCATGTGAAATCTACAGTAATTTACTGTGTTTGTGCACAGGAAATGAGTGTATACTAGTTCACAGTAGAATACCGTAGTTTCAGTCAAAATTGCAGTAATTTAAGAAATACTGTGTGTCACAGTAACCAGCAATGTCTTGTAGAAAATCACAGTAACTTCCAATGTATTGTAGAAAACAATAACTAATTATGTACTGTAGAAAATCACAGTAATTACCAATGTATTGTAGAAAACACAATAAGCAATACAAATAAAAAATAAAAATCACAGTAACCTGTTATATCCAGCTTAGTTTTCACGAGAAAGCGGGCGTGACTATTTGTAACTTGACAAAATTGTAATAATTATCATATTATTTTAACTTCAGTATCATAATCATAAATTCACGATTTCACCATACTGCGATACACTAGGGTTTTCTGAAACCCAGCCACTGGGATAGAGAAGGAAAACACAGTACACTGGCAGCTGGGTTTCCAGCCAATGACTGCATTTAATTGGACCTCACTGTAATTCAATTACATTTTAGGTTTGAATAGAGAATACAGGAAGCAAATGTATTCTTTAATAATAAAAAAAAGAAATTACCAGAAGGTCATCAAGATTTTATTGTTTTCAACACATCTAGCAATAAATGAAGAATGATTAATGAAGCTTGTTATAATGATGAGCAGTTAACTGTGACTGTTGATAAATGAATATTTATATTTAAATCATGCAACATGCATTATTTCATTCATTTTTTTTTATTATTATTTGGGCTAAATCAGTATAACTAAACATCAATGGAACCTGTCGTTAACGATAGTCTAGTGTTAGCACACTGACATATAGTGCAACTGTGTCTCTGGGGACCCGTGTTTGATTCCTTGCTTTGACTCTGATATACAGATAAAAAAGAATGTGTGGAAAGATGATAAAATGACACATTTTCCAGCACGTCTCTTTTCCGATGTTGTATTGCATTTCTTGATGTCTTATAAAGAAGAGAGAGAAAAAAATGCTTTTTTTTTGGTCACAATCAAGCAGACAATCAATGATAGCCAATCAGAAAATTTTATTAAAGGAATAGTTCACCCAAAAATAAAAATTCTGTCGTCATGTACTCACTCTGAAGTTGTTCCAAGCCTGTATGAGTTTCTTTCTTCTGTTGAACACAAAAGAAGATATTTTAAAGAATGGCAATAACCTAACAATTGGTGGCAGCCATTGACGTCTACTGTATGTAAAAAAAATTAAAATAAAATCTTCAAAAATGTTTGCGTTAAACTGAAAAAAAATAATTTATACAGGTTTAGGACAATCATGAGGGTGAGTAAATGATGACAACATTTTCATTTTTGGTGAACTATCAATTTAACGCTTATAGCAATCAAATAATCAGTATATATAGAGTTATGAGTGAATATGAAAATACATAATACCTCTTTTAAATTGTTAAGCCCCCCTTTAAATCGTTAAGTTTTTCTGGTTTCTCTATTAAAATGAAAAGAAACACACACACACACAGTCACAACCTTAATCACATCCAATTTTGGATTTAATACATAATTTTGAATGCTTCATTTAATATGTTCTTTGTTTGGATTATTATGTACATACTTTTTTCTTCTGTGTGATCTGGACATTTACTCTTTTCTTTGATGAAGTGACCATCGTTTTCATGGTACATTGCAGAAATCTTTTCAAGCAGTTGGTTTACTTGAGTCTGATCACTGACATCCTTGTTATTCAGTGCATGAAATCTTTTGCCGTACAATTTTACACGATTTTCAATCTCTGGATTCTCCTTAATGTATTCTTCAATACCTTTGTTTTCTAGACCATCCTTTCCAGAGAAAAGGATCATTGTGTGTTTTCTTGATTTGTGAAGACACGCGTGTATGCAATCTATTATTTTGACGTTTTCTGTGGCAACTTGTCCCACTCTGATTACAATCATAATGACATGTGGCCCTGGAGCAGCATATGACAAAGACTGAGAGATTGAATCATTCACTTCTGTTTCTTCCTTAATGCCAGGAGAATCAATCAACACTAAATTAATCCCAGGCCTTCTGGTTTTATTAATAGGTGATTGGCTTCTTTCAGTTTTGTTATCATTTCCTAAAAGTGTCGTAATGGTTGAGGTCTTTCCTACCCCAGCCATTCCCAAGACAACAACTCTGACTTCTTCATTTGTCTTGTCCAGTGGTTCTGTAGTGTCTTTCATGTGCCTCTTCATATGTGCACCTGAATGTCCTATTGTTTCATCAGATGTGACTTGATCTGGTTTTCCACTCATTTTTTCATCCTGCTTTTCACCCTGGGAGCTCTCCATAGAATTTTCATTCATTCTCTGTGTTTCTTTTAGATCCTCTAACAACTTGTTCAAATTCTTCACAGATGAACTATCTTTGTTGCTCCAGGTGTGCACTCGATTTCCACAGCACTGAATAATACTCTTCAATGCTCCCTCTTCTTCTGTAATGAACTGATCAAATGATTTTGACTCAAGGTTATCATGGTATGAAAACAGAAGTGTAGTATGAGTAAAAAATTCTTCTCCTAGGATTTTACGTAATTGTGAAATCATATGCATCTCTTTTGCTGTATAGGAACCAATGGGGATGACCATGAGAAAAGCATAATGCCCATTAAGCGACGCAGTGGCTGCCTTTATTTGTGACGCGACCTCATCCTCAGAGATTTTAGTACAGTGCCATCCAGGAGTGTCCACAACTGTGACTTCCATTCCATTAATTCTCGCTGTTTCAGTCTGGTTTGATACTGTGACTGACTGAGTAGATGCATAAGATTTAAAAACCTTTTTACCAAGTATGGTGTTTCCTGAAGCACTTTTACCAGACCCTGTCGTGCCAAGCAGGACAACCTGCAATTTATCTTGGGCTTCCATTCTCAAGGTAGTATGTCACACTGTCCAGAAAGCAAATATAGGCTACAGTATGCCCTATAGAAAGAGTAATACAGATTAATGTCATATTAATTTTGTGGAATAAAAAGTATTTGCAACAACATATTTAATTGCCAATGAGAAACTATGAAACTCTATAGAAACTATGTAATCGTTTGTTATGGTGAATATGATTGTAGACTGTCACTCCGCTTGTCTTTATTTACATGTTCAATTCAGACTGTCTGTCTGCACATTAGTAGTAGGGATGTTTCAGCACCTATTTTTATCCACTTTACATCATTACATCAGTAGGACGTGATAAGTGACTTTATGAGTCATATTGATTTAAAACAAGTGTATGTTTGAAATATAACTTTCAACACCAATGACTTTCCATGCTCCCCTACTTGTTCTGGGAGTAGACCTCCTATGTTTGGCAAATACGAAATTCACGAAATGGCGATTTGGTTTATGAAGCAAACGCTTCAGAATAATTTAATGCTCTACAAAAAATAGAGAGAGCTTTGGTGATGCCTAAGCAAATGGTTAAATACTGCAATACAAATTTCTCGCTAGAAATTACATCAAGTTGTACAGCCTATATTTACGACATTAAATTCCAGTCACTTAACTGTAGGGGGCTCCAGAGTCTCAAAAATATAAACTAGCCTACATACAGTTGCTTTAACGTTTCTCTAATAAACGCTGATTCATTCAGAAAATAAACAAGTGACTGAACCTTCCATGTATGCTTTTGGGGAGTAGACCTCCTATGTTTGGCAAATACGAAATTCACGAAATGGCGATTTGGTTTATGAAGCAAATGCTTCAGAATAATTTAATGCTCTACAAAAAATAGAGAGAGCTTTGGTGATGCCTAAGCAAATGGTTAAATACTGCAATACAAATTTCTCGCTAGAAATTACATCAAGTTGTACAGCCTATATTTACGACATTAAATTCCAGTCACTTAACTGTAGGGGGCTCTAGAGTCTCAAAAATATAAACTAGCCTACATACAGTTGCTTTAACGTTTCTCTCATAAACGCTGATTCATTCAGAAAATAAACAAGTGACTGAACCTTCCATGTATGCTTTTACTCTTTAATAGGCAAAACAAGTTAAAAGAATAGTGTATATAAATTAACAGTATTCATAAAAAGTAAGGTAGGCTACCTGGATGACCATACTTCTGGCGAAATTCTGAAGTGCCAGCTTGTGAGATATAAACATGCAATTCCTGAGAAATTATGTCAGAATTGTGAGATACAAACGTGCAATTCTGAGAAACAAATTCAGAATTGCAAGATATAAACTCAAAATCCTGAGAAATAAAGTCAGAACTGCAAGATAAAAATGCTGCAATTGCCTTCTTTTACATTTGATTCAGTGGTGGAAACGGGCTTTGGAACACTGGGAAAATTAAAATAAACTGGAAAGTTCTTTGGCAGAATATCTCTACACCGGCAGAGATAAAAAGTAGAGAAGGATCCCCCAAACTCTTGTCATTACTTTTTCAATCTCATGAAAGTGTGTATAAATAGTACGCCAAATAAAACGAAAACTCGTGGAATTGATACGCAAAAATGGACTTTGGCGTGTATAGGCCTATGCTACGCGATGGGTAGGTTTAGGGTTTTGGGGTAGATGCGTATCATATGTACGCGAAAACTGCACGCCAAACACATGCGTATCATATGCACGCCAAAGTCCATTTTT